TTACGGTTTCATCCATTTCAGAAAAGTACTCTTCCTAGAGTTTTCTATCTGGCCGGTACCCTAACAAAAATAACAACTACTATTCCGAATCATAATCTAGCTTGCCAGATGATATAAAATTTATAGGCGATCTACAGCTCCCTATCAGATGGAGAAATAAACAAGGAAATGGCTAATAGCGATACAAATCGATAATTTCAGCGCGTTACTGCACCAATGAAAATAGCATAAAACTAAGCAATAAAAGAATCAAACTAAAACGAGATTTGATTTCTCCATTTGTCATTTAATCGTGTCGCAGACAGTAAAATTGCCATCGTGAAAGATAACAATAGATGCATCGACTGACCCATTGTACCAACGTAGAACAATGACTCCTGGCTGCATGGGAACCGGTGTCTCGACAGTCGATTACTCAACAAATTATATGTGAAGGATCTGAAGAAAAAATTACAATCCTTTAAATAATGAAATTGTACTTACTCTGCAAAAAAACGAATCAGAAAAACATATCAGAAAGCAATTCGCTTTAGTAAACCATCAAAAAACGCTAGGAATGCATAGACGCCGACAAACTGCCCCCTTCCCGGTTTCAACGTCAGCACTGGAGGTAAAGTAACAAGCTGAAATGGTCATCTACAGCCCTCGGTTTCTGTGTGCAGTTGATCTAAGCAACTGCTTCTTTGCATCCTCAGTCTTTCGCCCAACCGTCACGTGAGAATATGTATGAGAGATGGGGGGGGGTATGCGAAAAAAATGTACCCACCGTCGGGCAGGGGCTCTGGTCGTTCTGTCGTTCTGCTACGGCAGGCTCCAAGAAAACGTCAACGCTTGTACAAAACGTTTCGACGGCCCTGCGGTCCCGGCGAACTGGCTCGCTGAAAGTCTCGCGGTCTGGCACGAAGTGCTTTTTTATAGCTGCAAAAGGACGGCAACAAATTCCGACTTGTCATGTCGAACGTACAGTTGGCGGACGCCGGGAGGTTCGAGTGTCAAGCATTGAACGCAGCTGGCAGCAAGTCCAGTTCGTGCACGTTGATCGTCGCTCCCTCGCCTTCGCCAGGTGAGCATAATCGCCAGCATCGATTTTTAGCATTGCTTCATTTCGTTTCCTCACCTGTGTCTTGTGTATGTCGGCACTAATTACAAAAGTACTGTTTTTTTTTTTTCAGTTCCCAACGGAAGAACCGTACCGCTGATGTAAGTACCATCCGGAGATGAGAAGAAC